TTTGGTTATGGCGGAATAAACACAGAAAACGTATTCCAACTGCATTCTCCGCTCTTTCCTTAGGAAAAGAATAATTAGGTTAATAGTACATCAATCTTACTTGTATTTCCATTTTTAATGCCCATTTTATCATCAGATGTGGACTCCAAACACCAACATGTCGATTTTATTCTTCTCCAAATATGTGATAATGACAGTTACCCTTATTCTGCCACAAAAGGATATGCAATCAAAGTCCGGCATCTGGTCTGGAAGCAAGTCAGAGGTCCTTTGTTACACTGCATGAGACATTAACCAAATCTGTGGCTAAAATGTCTGACACATTGATTAAGCATTTCTGGATAAATTAAGTCGGTTCCTTGATTTCAAATTCGAGGCATATATCACTTAGACCTAGGCAAACTACTAGTATATCTAGTTTGGTTATTAGATTTTGAGCTTTGATGATGCGATAGTTCACCTTTAGTAAGTAGCCTTTATGCTGCAGCATCACAGGAAGTTGTGCCTGTTGCCATCGTATTCGATGATGTTAACGGCAGGGAAGCATTTCGCCCACGCATGCTGTACGCAGTGCTGGAAAATGCGACATCCGCGGCGATGATTAAGGCAGGATGGTGCTGCTCTCGTGGTAGAAAGTTCACTGTTTCCTAAACCTACCGAATGCTTCGCATATTTTCCTGCGATTGCTTGTCTTCGTGGATTACGTGTCATTTTGAGCGGATGCATAATCGGCGGTGTCGACATTGGGCCGAACCAATCCTCTCATGGGGCGCTTGCATAATTGTCGGTTTGTAATTCGTCAATGAACAAGGATTTCTCTTGCTGAAAAAATAATTTTCTTTGATTTATCTCATGCAACAATCACCAGATCTGGGACATGAGATTTATTATGAAACATGATCCCCAAAATATTCAGGTTTTGATTCTTGTTCGAAGGTCTCGTAACACCAAGCAGAGGCCTAACGCTTTCGTAATCTTTTTCACACTGCTAGATTTATTAGTGACTGTTTCAAACCATTCGTGTTGTAGGTAAGGAAAACCAAATAATAATAGTAATAATGAGGTAGATTAGCTGTTCTTTTTGCAACGACGCGGTCACGTTATTGGCAGGTGAGATAAAACTTACTCTAGTCGTTGAACGGCCAAGCTTCCCGTAACTGTCCACCGTCTAAGTGGCATGAGAATAAGTTAACGCTAGACTATGACTTTGGCATCATAGAGCGGTACTAATAGTGACACGGCCTTTGCTAACAATCAGGTGTGGGTTCATCAAAATACCGCCTCACGTGATCTGCCTTCATCTCACAATTAAGCGCGTGCCATGCCTGAGGAGTCACCAGCATTCAGTTGAGGTGGGATGAACGCGCGTGTATGTAGACTACTCTCTCAGCAGACCGTTTGTTTCTGCGTCTGACAACTCCTGAGACTATGCTGAAACTAGCAGCCCATCCAACCAAATAAATTGATTAGTGTTGCCAGCACTGTTGTTTGCGATTCTTGTTGAAATTTACACTCTGGTAAATTGAGCGCTTCACTAACACTGGGAATATCATTTGCTTAATTAATAACTGTATTGCAATCGAGACTTCCACTGATACTCAAACTCTGTTCCAAAAGCTTTTTAGCAATTAAATAAATTGGGCATGCAACTGCAAGATGTCGCTATCAAAGTTCTACTAGTCACGGTAAGTTATCTTTCGATATGCGATTACTTCACGCATATTTTCACTTAGTACCGTTGATTACGATCACTGAACTTGTGATTTAGTCAACGTGACTTGCTACGATGTCGGCATGAATAACTTGTGCTCACAGACAAGGAGCGGCTGCGTGTCCAAGAGATGCCAACTCCCTTAATGTGCATAGTACTGCTTTTCCAACATTGGTATTATGGATGGTGCCGTTTACAGAAGCACAGTAACTTCAACCACCAGACAGTTTGAGTGATGTATGAAAGCGGTAAGAAGGTGAAAAATGCAGAGGGGGCACGGTGACACTGGTGAAGCTACAATAGCGATACAAGTGAACGATGGATACGGTCTGGAACGGTGTAGCGAGGTGGCTAGGGAGGCCAAACACCAAATTGGAACTTGTACATTAAGTATCAATGAGGAGAATCTTCCAGACGCGATGTGCTCCAGAGAACCACAATACCCCGAGGGTGTACCACAACTTTACTCCATCTTCTATGCTGTAAAAATCCCTTTCCATGTGTAGCTTCACACGTTGCTTGAAGTAAAATTGCTGCTTGCCATTGTCACGCATTTCGCCGGTGGAGTCGCATCCCTTTTTAGTTTAGCATTTTCACTCGTCTTCTCTCCAAAAACGGCCCTAACAACATGGATGCTGCCATCGCCAGTGTTAACACCCCAAAATGTACAACTCGTCCGGACTTGATGAGCGTGATTCTACAAGATCATTTCAACGCAGTTACTTAATTTTTGGAGAGTGGTATCGAAAGATCTCTGCATATAGCATAGATTTATTTCAAAAATTGGAATCTGTCCCCGAAAGCACCAAATACTCGGCACAAGAGCTGAATGTTGACAGCAATCTAACCGCTTTTAAAAATTGCACGAGTACATCAAAATAAAGTTCT